AAGTTTCTCAAGAAAGACAGTAACTTGTTAACCATTGAACCACTGAAGAGACTGGAATAATAAATATTGAGGAAATGAGTGAATGAATGAGTACTATGTTCCCTCTTTCTTTGGAAGAGAATAATTTTACAGCATCATATTAAGAAAAAAAAGTACTTTGTAAGTATATTTTGGTTCAGTGGACAGAATATTGTTTATTGTCAGAAAATTGACCTGAGTTCCAGTTCTGAATTTCCAGTACTTACTAGCTGTGTGACCCAGAATAAGTCACTTACCATCTCTGGAGTTGATCCTTTGTCTGTAAGATAAGAGGTTGAACTATTGAGCTTAAATATTCCTTCCAGCCCTAATATTCTATGAAATGCTGAAAACACGGCAAATCTAGCTTTCAGTTGTAGGCTCGCTTGCAGACAAGCAATTCAACGGACCAGCTAAGATCCCCAACGTTTTGCAGGGGCCTCTGAGTCCTCCCCCTCTCCCATGTCTTAAAAATATTAATAGCCAAGAGCCTCACTGAATGTGGTTTTTAATAGAATCCAATTTCAGTCCATTTAGAGTGGGACTTTTCATGCTGACTTGGTAATTTGAACTCTGCCATGCCTGATGGACTGAGTGCATTTTCCCTGTCTGTGCTGCCCGCCTTGGGCTGCTGGGGAGAGTGTACAGGCATTGGGAGTGGGAAGCGGGGGCATCTTAATCAAAGTGGCTGCTGATAAGGCACTTTGGCCTCCCAGCCAGTTTCTTTCCTGCCCGGAGGCATGTGATGAGGATAACGGGGCACTGGAAGGAGAGTGGGCAGTGACCACTAACTTTCTTGACAACTGCCTCCTCCTTGTAGCCCAGAAGCCACTGGCCTCTGGGTAGAACCACAGGAAGTAAACTGTTGACCTTTGGATGTGACTAGAAGACACTTGGTTGTGAACATTTTCAGAATTATGCCAATTGATTGCTGTGGAGTCTCTGATAAGCTTGGAGAGGTCATGTGAAGGAGTACAGGACTTCCTCTGCCCCACTACACCCCCAAGTACTTGTCCTGTTTGATCAGAAAGTAATCCCAGGGCCTGCTGGAAGTTCCCTTCCTTCTAGAGTACAGGTTGGGAATATGGAAGATGAACATACAGCTACTAGTAGCCACACCATAAATGAGGAAACCAAGGCTGAGGCGGGTGGGAGGAAGGAAATGAACATTTATTTTATGCTTACTGTGTGCCAGCACTGAGCTAGAAGATAGATATTTCTTCATTCTCCCAACACTCTTTTAAGGGCTATATAACATTATCCCCATGTATAAAAATAAAAATGAGGATCAGAAAAGCCAGACAAGTGCCCCAAGGTCACACAGCTAGTAAATGTCATAGCTGGTATTCAAACAAAGCTCCATTGATCCACTCCAAAAGGTTGTATGGTTTGAAATGGTGGAGCTGGGTACTCTGATTTGTCTGCCTGTCTGCCTTAACCTGGCAACTCCTTAACCTGGCTGGTCATCAGAAAAACTTCAAGACAAGACATTGAAAAACCTATAGTATCTTGAGAATTTCCCCATGGGTCTGATTCAGTGGCTCTAGGGCCTGCAGTCATGTATTTTTTAAAAAGCTACTTCAAGTGATTCTGATGTTTTAGAAAACACAGCACCAAAGCACATGGCTTCTCTTCTATCCGGAGTCTCCTAGGATTTCTGCAATTCTCAGAAGCACAGATCCAGTCCAGCGCTGCATTTACCTCAAGTACCATTTGCCGCTGAATCCATTCTTCACTCATTGACTGGTGAGTTTCAATGCTCAACATTTATTGAGCACTGACTGTGTGCCAGGCATTGTGTTAGACATTCTGGCTGCAAAGATGAATGAACCACAGTGGCTGCCTTGAGGAATATCCAGGTGAGACAAATCCGGGAAATTCCAATTTGTTGTAGCAAGTGTTAGGCAGAGGTAGGCTCATATGAATTCAGTGGGGCAGACTAAGGGGCCAAGAAAGGCATTCAAGCAATGGTGCATTGATCAAGACCTATAGGAGCTAGCAAGCTGAAGAGGGGTGCAACGGTGTGGCATGGCCAACTAGGCAGAGGGAACAGCATGGAAAGGCCCAGAGACCCAGAACATTGGGTTCAGGGAATCACCAGAAGTTGGGTAGCAGTGGAATGTAGGGAACCTGGGGAAAAGGACCAGGAGGTGAGCCTGGGAGAGTCAGCAGAAGAAATGACATGAAAGACCTTATGTGTCGTGCTGAGTTTGGCCTTTATCCTAAAAGGGATGAGGAGCCTCTAAAGATTTTTAAGCTATGGAGCAACATAATCAGATTGTGTTTTAGAAAGGTTGCTCTGATAGAAATGAGAGAGTGAACCACAGGCAGAAGAAGCTGGCAACGCAGGAGCAAATTAATTTCAGAATTGAGAATTTATGTATGTTAAAAAAGCACCATAACCCAAGTTTGAAGGCAAAGCTCTCAGAAAGCATATTAGCAATGTTTCTTAACAAAAATAATATTCTTAATAAAATTACATATTGATAATAAAGATGAACGTCCCAATACAAAATAAATAGAAAAATCACAAAGAAAGAAGTACAAATGGTCAATAAGCATATGAAGATGTTATTCACTAATAAAGAAGTATGAGTTCAGATAACATAGACATACTATTATTTTCCTATCAGATTAGTAAACATTTGATAAGTGATAATACCCACTCTTAGTGAAGGTGCAGGGGTCAGGGCACTTTTGAAGCCTCAAACAAAGGAGGGCAAAATTTGGTACAAACTTTCTGAAGGGCAATTTGCAACATATATAAAAATCCTTAAAGATAGTCAAGCAATTTCATTCTTGGATTTTGTCCCAAGGAAACAATCTCAGGTATGTGCAAAATTTTGCTACAAGAATGTCTGCTGCAACATTATTTACAGTAAAGATTTGGGAAAAAGTGCAGTAATCTTTATGAGGAAATTGGTTACCAAAAGAGGGTCCATCCATCTAATGAGGATGCTATTGAAAAAGTTTGGGAGACACACAAAAACTTTCATTTTTGATACAGTAAGTGCAGTGGTACAAGGTCAAAAAAGGGTGTCCAATATGCCATTTATGTGTGACAGAAGTATATATATACATATCTTCGAAAACACATTTGTGTCTCTGGAAGGACATACAGGTAATTGGAGGGAAACAAGATGCTGGCTGACAGAGTGGGAAGGAGATTGACTTCTTATTATAGAGGTTTTTGTACTTTTTGAATTTTGTATCTGTGTATGTATTACATATTCTAAAATATAAATACACATCTTGAAACGGAAATTTTTAAACAGTATATACAGTGTGATCCAATTTTTGTTTTAAAAAAAACTGCATGTGCCTGTGTACATTTATACCAAAAAGAACCAAAAGATACATTCAAAAGACAACTGAAAGGATCAAATGTTTGTCTTGGGTGGGAGGGCCATGTGTTGGAGTTTGCCCTGCCCCGTTTTTTTCCTAAATTTCTATAACACACACATGAAGATTTCATAATAATTACAAGGAAAGCATAATTTCCCCCCCAAAGGGTTTATCACAAAAGTCCAAGCAGGAGATGAAAAAACAGGCTAGATCCAGGATTAGTGCTCCATGTAGAGTTCAGCAGTGACAGCTGTAGACAAAGCATGTAGTTGAGTGACAGTCCCCCATTTGGGGAGCGAGGAGAAGGAAGCTGAAGGTTGGGTAAGGTAAACAGACTTGATTTCACTTAACAGTCCTCTGAAGTCTCTGTTGGATAAATGCACAGAAAATTCAGCCTTACCACCCAAAACATCAACCAATACCCTCAGGCAGCCTTTTCCTTTTGGAGAACTTAACTTCAGTTAACAGTGAATGGAGGTCCGACAAGCATGTGTACCTAGGTTACCAGACAAGCAGATGGCCTGTACACTTGTTCTATGAGGTCCTATGAAATTGTCCTCATGTAGTTTTGGATTTCGACCTTTCTCTTCAGAAGGATGGCAACAGTCCTATCCCTACGCGTCCAGCCCTGCCCCAACTCACCCACTGAGGTGAGACCTCTGTCCTGCTCCATGTTGGGAGTAGCCGCTCTGGGTCCTTCCTGATGGCATGAAGGCTGCCTCTGACCTCATCTTTGTCCTTCAGATCCTAACAAGCAGTCTGCCAACTCACAAGCTTTCTGGCATGGAAGCTTGGGAGCAGGGCAGTTTTACATTTTCCCAGGCTATGTATGCTTCAGGTTGGTTTCGAGCTGGGGTCCCGTGGAGCCACCTGGGTACACAGTAGGGGTGGGGGAGAATATGACCCCTGTAAGAGCTTTTTCGTTTTCCTCCTTTCCACAGGGTGAGCTACAGGCAAGCAATTGTGGGCCCTTGGATATTCTAGCACCTTCTTGCAGCCCATTGGAATCCTTTAAAGAGCTCTGTGAATATAACCTGTGCTGCTGGCTCCAGATCCCTCAGCAGCAATTGGATCCTGCAGTGGTGGAGCCTCTGATCCGCAAATAACCCATAATTAACTTTGTGTTTCCTTTCAGTCTCTGCCTGTAATTGTGACTCTTCCCCAGTGCTGGAGATGGAATGAGGAATGCTAGGGGGGTTGTTTGGATACATGTTGGCCCCACCAGCAAGTGGGATGAACAATACACAGAAGTAACTGTTGGGCCCCAGCTTCCTTTTCCTGGCCTGTCACTGCCGTGACCACTAGGGAGTCTAGTGTTGGGGACCTTTTACTGCCTTGGGCTAAATACAAGAGGCAGCCCAGGTACCACCAATGACATAGTCAAGGCTTTTCAACTTAATACACACATCCTGCTCTTGAAGGTTATAACTACTCAGTATAATACTTTGTACAGAAGCAACCATAGAGTCATTAATAGCTAGAGCTCTGGAGTTAGACCTGCTTCAAATTCTAGCTATGTCCCTTAAGGCCATGCAACCTTGAGATAATTTTCTGGTTTTCAGTTTTCTTATCTGTCAAGTGGGAATAGTATCTCATAGGGTAATTGCATGAAAAAAATGAGATTATACATGGAAAAATCTGAGGATAGTGCATTTAATAAATGCTATTAACATTATTGCATTGGTATATATTTTAATTTGTACAATATTATCTCTGATCACATGAGAAATACATGAAAGTGCTTTGAAAATTTTAAAGCATCATATAAATTACAGGTGTCACTGGTAATAATCTCATATGAGTATTTCTCACGTCTTCCATCTCCTTGAAGACCGGGACTGCATCCTATGTCCCACAGCAAATTGCACAATGACAGGAAACAAAAAGCCCTCAGTAAAAGCCATTTCTTATTTGACTGAAGCAACATGGTGTAGCATAAAGAGCATAGATATCAGGAGACTAGGCTGGAAAAATTAGTTTAAGGCAGGAGAGCCAGTCTGCAGTCATAATTTATTCATTCAACAAATATTTGTTGAGCACATTCTATGTGCTAGATATTGAGGAGTCCAGATAATTCCATCCAAAGGGGGCTGTACAAGTTCCCACAAAGCCAAACCTCTGGGCACGTCCCTGACCCAGCCTACTCTAAAAGCACAAAGGTGGCAGCCAACATTGTAAACCACTGGACAAATGGCCCATTGCTTGTGGGGAAGCCCCATCCTGCCTGGCTCTGAGTAGCTCTGACTGAGAGTTGTGGGGGTGGGTGGGAAGTAAAAGTGAGGGAGCGGGCTGCTTCCAACACAAATGACAGGAACTGTTGCCTGTTAATTAATTTTTATTTACACTTAATTAGTCCACAGTTCAATCCCCCCAGTCTATACAATGCTCTTGCCCCTAGATGTCATCTCTCCCTCCCCGATCCTCTATATGGTCAACGCTTGGCCCTCTTTACCCTGCCCTTTTGCTGTCACAGCTGCCTGCTGGGTGAGCGTGTGGGGGAATGGTATGTGTGGTCACCAGAGACACTGAGAGTGGGCTTCAGTGGAATGTGAGTCCTGGCAGAGTCTCAGATCCCCGAGGGGGAGTGAAGATAGCACAAGCCAAGACAGCAAGTGAGGGAGGGAGGCAGCGGCTGAGGTACTGGGGCTGGGGAGAAGGGGGAAATCCAGTGTATACAAATCCACGGTCCCTCTGTTGGCTTAAGCAACTGCTCCTGGTGTTTGTGTCGTCCCAGGATTTGCCACAGTTGCCTTGAGATGCTCTGATCTGTCAGGAAGGTGTGGAGGGGTCCAGCCCATGGGCTTTGTGCCTGCTGCCTTTGGGATGGTGCACCTGCCAGGCTCTGCCTCTGTCAGAAGCTCTGGGTGAGGTCAAAGCTGCAACAGCTTTCCTGGCCTGTGAGAGTACTCTCCAGCTGTCTCTGAACAAGTTAGATCCCTCTCAGTAGCTGCCCTACTAGTGAAGAGGACGTCTCCATTGTCAGGGCAACCCACCAGATTCCAAATTTGCATGTCTCCTTCTCACACAGGGAGCAGGCAAAGAGTTGAGGGGCAGCAAGAGGAAGAAGGGAGAGCCGGAGGGGAGAAAGAACCCTGCAGGGGGCTCTCCACCAGGGTTTCTCGAAGGGCCAGGTCAGGTGCAGCACAGCCCTAGAAAGATGTTCTTCTTACACGGCCTCCTTCTCTCTCTGGGAGCATCTGCTGAGCTTCATCTCCGTCAGCTGGATATACCGAATCACATTGGTGTCTGTGAGGAGAGAAACACACCTTAGGGGACACCTGGTGAGACTATTGGGTCTGCACAGAATCAGGCCATGCCTTTGTCTGCAGATCATGTACAGGTGGGACCCACTCAGCCACAGTCCGTGGTGGCAGAGAGGGCAACCAGGATGTCGGCCCTCTCCTCTATGGCTTCCCCCTAGCAAATGTGGACAGGTCACCATTACCCAGGGTACAGACAGAAAGGAGAAGGGTGGAGGGGGAGTCTCTCCTCATGTCTATGCAGCACTCTAGCCCAGTGGTCCCAAGTCAGCACGGTTAGTTGAGACTCTGCTGGGAGATTAACCTCAGGCAAATTACCAACTTCTCTGAGCCTCATGTCTGCCAGAAACAACCTTCATTTTTGAATGCTTACCTTGTTCCATGTTTTTTACCTTCATCTCATCTAACCCTCATTACAGTCCTGCAAGGTATGTATCATCATCCTCACTGTGACAAAAGGGAAAACTGGGCTCTGAAGACATTAAGTAAGATGGCCACAGAGACATGTGGTAAGTGGCATGTCTGTCTCCAAAGTCTGCCACTCCTGGGGGTCATAATAACTTCCTCTTAAAACTGTTATGAGGACCAAAATAGGTAAGTCTAAAAGTGCTCAATCCAATGAGCAGTAAATGTTAGTTGAATGTATTTTTTTAGTTGAAGAATTTAAAATGACTTTGCTTCATTGTCTTACTTTTGTCCTCATTAGTAGGGTCAGGCAGCTGCCTCACCAAAAACTGGGGATTTCCCCGCAATTCCAGTCCTTAAATTAGTGAGCAGGGCATGACAGGGAACAACTGCTTAGCTCTGCACACACCAGAGCAGAAGAGTCACAGGGCTGCCTGAGATGTTTACTTCCAGAAGTAGAAATGAATGCCATGTAATATTCAAAGACTGCCAGGCACAACATCCAAAACAGTGCTGGCATATGGTAGGTGTTCAAGAAAATTCTGTTGAATGGATCCAGTTCTTAGTATTCAAGTTCACAGGATAGTGAGGGAACACAATTAATCTACACAAAACAGATCAACAACACCTGAAAATATTGGTCTGCTTAAAAAAATACAGATGTATCTATTTGGATATTTGCAAATTGATCCTGAAGCTCTCAGGCTCCTCAGAAGAACTGCATTTTAAAAAATTGGCCGTATGAACAAAGGCAACATCATGTCATTGTTGAAATGTTACCATGTCAGAGAGGTCTAACTAGCACCCCCTGGTCTAAACTAGCACCCTCTTTTCTCTTGATGATTTTACTCTGCTTTATTTTGTTCAGAGCACTTACCACTACTAAACACTACATTATCTATCATGCATTTGTTTACTGTCCATCTTCCTCCATTAAAACTTCCACCTGACTTCTGGCTGGGGAAGTCAGAGCATGCTTCCTGGAAGATGCTGGGCTCAGCACCAAAATTATTCGTATTCTGTCTTGCCACCCACACTGTGAGCTCTTCACAAGAAGGGACCATGTCTTCTCATCTACATCCCTGGTGCCCAGCACAAATCTTGACACAAAGTAAGAATTCAATATGTATTTATTGCATAAGGGAGGAGAGCTGGATTCTGGGTTGGAGAAGATGAAGAATTGCGTATTCTATTTGATGGAAAAGGTGCCCAGGCTCTCTGGAACCCAGACCCCAGGCAAAGACATAAACGTGTGTTCTCTTCATTCCAGGTCCTGCCATACATTTGACCCCTGCTTTGCCACTCCTGTCCCCACCTGGCCCTGCCAGCATTGAGAGCTCTCTTCCTCATTCCAACGCCTCGGGAGCGGCCGCAGGGGGCTGAGGGAAGAAAGTGGCAGGGGCTGCCTTACCTGTTGGTTGTCGGGTCCTTGCTTCTTTCAGGTAATACAGCGCTTTGTCATAGTCCCCAAGGTGGTAGAAGGCCACACCTGACCGGTAAAGGGCCTTGAAGTTCTCTCCTTCCTTCTTCAGGACTTTGAGGCAATACTCCTTGACTCGCTCATAATTTACCAGCTCAGCCTGGAGCAGGCAGGCTGTGGAGGGAGAGAGAAATGCCATCAACACAACAGCAGCAGGCTCTGGGTGTCTCTGGTTCTTTGCTCCATCCAGAGAAGGTTTAGCAGTGTTGGGGCTTCACACTGGGATTAAAGCCGTGGAATTTGTCCTAAAATAATCCTGTGTTCTGGGACCCGCTTTAATTACCAATAAGCTGTGTGACCTTGAATAGGTTACTCAACCTTGTGTTATGGATTATGTCCCTTCAAAAAGCTTTGTTGGAGTCCCAACACCCAGGAACTCGGAATGTGACCTTCTTTGGGAATAGGGATTTATAAATGTAATCAAGTTAAAATTAGGTCAATGAGTGGGTCTAATCCAACATGGCTGGCGTACTTATAAAAAGTGCACTATGGATTGAATGTGTCCCCACAAAATTCATCCGTTGAAAACTAGTCCCCATGTGATGGTATTTGGAGGTGGGGTCTCTGGGAGGAGAGCAGTCAGGAGGGTGGAGCCCTTCTGACTGGGGTGAGTGCTTTTATTAAAAAGATGCCAGAGATCTCCCTTGCCCCTTCCGCTTTGAGAGGACACAGCGAGAAGACAGCTGCCTGCGGACCAGGAAGCAGGCTCTCACCAGATGCCGAGTCTGCTGACACCATGCTCTTGGGCTTCCCAGCCTCCACAACTGAGAGAGATAAGTGGTTGTTGTTTGAGCCAGCTAGTTTGTGTTGTTTTTGTTACAGCAGCCATGATGGACTAAGACAAAGGGTAAGTTTGGACACAGAGACATACACACAGAGAGAAAAGACAATGTGAAGTGACACAGGGAGCAGACAGCCATCTACAGACAATGAACACCTGAGGCCACAAGGAGGTAGGAGAGAAGCTCGGAGAGGAAGCCACCCTGCTAACGCTTAGATCTTGGACTCCTAGCTTCCAGAACTTGAGACAATAGACTTCTCTTGCTTATGCCACCAGTTTGTGAGACGTTTGTTGTGGTGGCCCCAGGAATAAGCTACAAGAAGCAGTAACAGTATTAACCACAGCTAATACTCGTTGAGTGCTTACCTTGTGCTTGATGCATGTCTTTGTATTTACTTGTATTACCTGACATAATGCTCAAAATACTATGATTGGTCCTATTATTTACTCCCATTGGACGGATGAGGAGGCTGAGGCCCAGAGAGGTGGTAATTTCCCAAGGTTACACAACATGAAAGAGGCAAGGTTGAGATTTAAATTAAAACTATCTTGGTCCAGAGCCCAAGTTTGTATTGCGTTGTTCAATGACCATAAAGTATATAACCCAGGGTTTGGCACATAATGGCTACCAAAGTGTCATTGAATATTAATTATAATTCTTTTCAGCCTTGCACCCCTGCAGTGACAATTGCCTCTGGCTTTTTTTCAAGTTCTCTTTCACACACACTTGTCTCTGCAGGTCCTGGGAACCGGACCTTCTGCCGGACTAGTGACCAGCCTCATACAGGGCACACTCTGGACACAAGAGGCCTGGGTGTCCCAGGCAAGAGGAAGCCAAGGCTGCCAGGTGCCTATAGGTGGGGCCCCTTCCTATTCCCTGGTCTGCTATCTGGAGTAAACTGTCTCTCCTTGGAGCTTTCGCCAGTGATCAGCCACAGGCCCAGGCCCAGGTGAAGAAGCTCACATGAGCCGGGAGAGCGATGACTCCTGGAATCTTGTGCCCCGGTTGCCTCACGTGCCCCACATGAATCCCAGACCTGCGAGCTACCTCCTCCTCCAGTCAGTCACTCAGTTATTTAGTAGGCTCTGACTAAGAGCAAAGAGTGTGTTAGACATGTCAGAGGGGTTACCAAAAAGAGAGAGAGAAAGAGAAAAGAAAGGCACCTGTCTGCTTCTTCCAAACAAATAAATCCAGGGACCTAGGAGGCAAACTGCTGCCTTCCCGCCTGGCTGGGAGCACCGGGGCAGGAGGCTGAGCACTGCTCCTTTGTGCTCAGGTTTCTCCCACACTGGAAGAACCACCCTGGGGACAGAGGCGCGTCACTGATTTTAATCTTCCAGCTGTTGTAATCCCTCAAATAACATAATTGTTATTAAGGATCAGAATTACTGATTAAGAGACCAGACCTTTCGCTGAACATTTTGGACAAAAAAGAGCGGCAGGTGAACCAAGTCGAAGGTGGAAGAACCAGGAAGTGGAAGTGAAGCAGCCCAGATGCAAAAAGTGACCCATTAGGTTTCACCGGCCACAGAGCAGAAAGCCAAGCAAGTCGACAGAAGCAACAGGCTGCTAACTCTGGGCATGGACAGCCGTTGTTGCAGAGAACCACTGTTTGCTGGCACACCATGGGTCCATCCACGGAGCTGGTGCCACCAGCTGCCCTCCCCACTCCTCCCTTAGCTGTGGGGTCTCAGGCCCCTCTTCTCCCCACCTCACCCCCATGATGTTGGGGTCTGCTTGGTGCCTACACAGCTCTGCAGACAAGGGGTTCTGTGAAAAGGTCCCTGCGTGGGAACCTCATGGGCTGTTACCCATGTGGGACTCGTTCCAGCATCTGCTCCCAGAGCTAAAGGACTTCCTTCCATATGCCCCGTCTGATGGTCTGATGTCCTTTCTGCCCAGGCTCTTCCTGTCCAGCCCTCCATCTTCAGACAGACACTTCTGTTTCCTGACCTGAGCAGTCTAGGAAATGGAAATATCAAAAATTGGGTGGGGGAGGAAGCAAAGAGTCCTGGAAATGGTAAAGATTCCTCCTCTCCACAGGGCAAAAGAAAGATAGCAATCAATTTCTGGAACTCATTCTGTGAAAATCTTTCAGATTCCCCTGCAGATCTAGGTGAGAACTGTGATACCTGGCTGTGGACCAGGGTTGAGAGCTGGTGGGAGGTGGGGTCAGGCAGGTTACAGGGTGTGGAACCCCTGATGGCACCAGAGGCTGAGTCCAGGAAGACAGAGAAATCAGCAATTAGCTCGGGTCCAAATGGGCTGCTGCCCTGAAAGCCTGAGTGAGAGGTAGAATCCTGATAAGAAACCAGGGTGTCCGGCCAGAGCTCTTAAGGGGGCCCAAGGTGAAGGGGGCAAGAAACAGTCTGGAAAGCTGCCCTCAGCCTACCTACAGGTGGTTTTTAAGAACCTCCCTACTTTGGGTACGGAGCTATTTGGGGTTCACTTAACAAGCCCACGTGATAGTTTGCAGGCACACTTTAGAACTGAGGAAGGTCAGGAGAGGATGACCAGCAGTCTGCAGGTGCTCCATCCCTATGCCCACTCTGCAGAGCTGGGGGCTTCAGTGGACACTTAGAATAGGTTACACTGTCCCACTGCCCATTTTTCCTTCAGTTACTCCCTTACCCTACATCAGAGGGGGTACTCAGTACCTTATATGTACATTTAATCTTCACAGCAGCTCTGTGAAACAGGTTCTATTTTTATGCTGCGTTTACAGATGATGAAACCTAGTTCCAGAGAAATTAAGTAATCTGCTGAAGGTCGTTCAACTAGGTGGTAGTAGAATGATGACACCCACCCACTTTTGTCAGGCTCCCAAGGCTGTGCTCTTGATCATGGGTATCTGTGGGTCTGCACCTGAAGCCCTTGGCAACCCCAGGGCCCCTGCTAGATGTGTAAAGCACCTTGCTCTGTGTTCCAGGGTCAAGGAGGCAACTCCTAACTGCACCGAGCACCGTATACAGGGTCCTGGGACGAACCAGACACTCTATGCCATCCTAAAGCTCATGGGCTGGTGGGGAAGGCAGATTGGGGGTATACTGAGGGGGGAAGGGCCTCAACCAATATAAAATATCATGGGAGGAAGTGATATTTAAACTGAGGTCCAAAGACTGAGTTTTCTCAACCTCAGCACTACAAACATCTCAGGTTGGATAATTTTTGGCCATGGGGGTTGTCCTGTGCATGTGGGATGTTAAGCAACATCTCTGGCTTCTACTCATTGGATGCCAGTTATGACAACCTAAAGAAGTGTCTCTAGATATTGCCAAATGTCCCATGGCAGGGTAAAATCACTTCTCTTTGAGAACCAATGACCTAGCTGGAAAGGAGAAAAAGTTTTCTAGGCAGAGTTGAAAGAAGAGGAGGCAAAGGGGAGAGAATGGCTTATTTGAGGAGCTTCAAGAAGCTGTGCCTGGCTGGAGCAGAGACTGAAAGGAGGGAGGCTGGAAGAAAGATGAAACCAAGACTCCCAGGCCCTTCTGGTCTCTGTTGAGGATCTGGGACTTTATTCTTAGGGCAAGAGTGAATTTGGATGATGAAATATGATAGCGACTAGGTTGACGCAAGTGGAGGCAGAAGAGCAGGAGAAAGGGATCAATTTAAGTGGCCCCTAACAGATAGACTTGACCAGCATCTGAAATACCTTCCCTCTGCTGTTACATTCACGTGGTTGGATCCCCTCATCCAGCAGGTCTCAGATTGTCTTTCAAATTCGGTGGATGATTCAGGAGTGTCTTCCACGTTGTTGTGTCCTATTCTTTATTTAAATGAAGGTTTATAATATGACAATCTCTGTGATCAGCTCTAGGGCAGGGATCAATATATATATATATATATATTTTTTTTTTTATTAAGGTATGATTGATATACACTTTCATGAAGGTTTCACATGAAAAAACAATGTGGTTACTACAGTTACCCATATTATCAAGTCCCACCCGTACCCCAGTGCAGTCACTGTCCATCAGTGCAGCAAGATGCCACAGATCAGGGATCAATATTTTTAAAGAGTACTGGTCTGTGAATTGGAAGGGCTGAATTCTAGTCCCACCTTTGCCACTAGCCAATGATATGAAATTCACTTTCTCTTTCTGAGCCTTGGTTTCCTATCTGTAACACATGTGGCCTGCACTTCACTGAATAATCTCTACCATCTGTTTTAATCTACCAGCTTGTGAATACAAACATCCACCACTTGATAGAAGGATGAAATTGTTTCACTGGTTCCTCTCCAAAAGGAATTCTGTTCTCTTTTATTTGTGGTGAGGCACCTTACAGTCATAACTGGTAGGGCAATGATCAGAAGGGCTTCTGTAAGGCAAT